TTTGCCGATATATATATAGTTACATAGTTTAATGTATATATCAACAACTTTTTATACCATAACTAGAAGGGGTACCTGGCGAGGCTCAGGTCGACCCAGGCACCAGATGAACCCCAAGGTGGAGAAAAAAGGAGAAAAAATGCCAAGTATAATAATAATAATAATAATAATAATAATAATAATAATAATTAGTACTGGTAATGTCTTCTCACAGACATAATGACATAGGATAAAAACCCACACTTGTGTATATGTCAAATTTATATAAGGAGTATACAGCAAGTCTTTCGCACTCTCGTGAGTGCTTTATCAAGGTCTGAATGTGTGATTAGGACGAGACTTTCATCTCAACGTCTAATTAAGACTGGACCCTGCGTGACGGGAGATGTCTCCTGTGTAGCGGATACAAAACATAAAATTGTTTTCCATTACTCTAATATAATTAGAGAAAGGATTAGTAAGAATAGAGTAGAAGATAGTAATCTGGGAGGCGTTTATATATTACCTTGTAGAGATTGCAATGAAGTCTGTGGGGGAAACAGGGTGAAAACTGGAGATCAGAATTGAAGAACATAAGATATCGTGTAGAATTATGGCTGGTAATTGTGCTGGAGCTAACCATAATTGGGAAAAAGATCACAATATTGATTTTAAGAAATGACATAATCTCTAAAAGTAATAATATTAAAACTAGAAGGGTGGTGGAAGGGGTTCTAATAAATACTCTGAATACTTTAGTTGGTAACAAAAGCTTCACTTCAGAGGATAGCTTTACTGGAAAAATGATTGAGTGAATTACAATTAGATCTCAATAAATGGACGAATGAAAGCAGTTCCATTAGCCACGTTCCTTTGGGGGTATGGAGAGGGATACGACGGCCAGCACCCAGATGGACACCTCGATTAATAACAACTCCAGTTCCCAAAATAGCAGGATTACAGAATGGACATATGGCCGTATTCCCGTGGAAGGCATTATTTATTTATTTATTTATTTATTTATTTATTATTATTTATGCATTATTTATGCATTATTTATTTATTATCGCAGGTATATCGGCAGTCGGGATTAGAGGTGACATGGTTAGGCGGTCAAGAATAAGAGTTCAAGTATGTTTATTGAGACAAGAAAGAAATACATCTTAAAGGGATAGAGTAGCTTAGGCTATTTCTACCCTGCCTGAGAATAAGAGGACTGGACCCAGGATAGCAGCCTTAGGGGCTCACTATAGCTCGTGCTACATAGACATTTCGTTCAGAGTAGCTAAATCTAAAACAGCAGTAGCAGGATAACAGCTAAAGTTTACAGCCCCGCTCCTGTGCCAGGTAAGCCCACTACGGGCTCACCATAGCCTGTGCTACTTGCCCCGCGCCTGTGCCAGGTAAGCCCACTACGGGCTCACCATAGCCCGTGCTACTTGCCCCGCTCCTGTGCCAGGTAAGCCCACTACGGGCTCACCATAGCCCGTGCTACTTGCCCCGCTCCTGTGCCAGGTAAGCCCACTACGGGCTCACCATAGCCCGTGCTACTTGCCCCGCTCCTGTGCCAGGTAAGTCCACTACGGGCTCACCATAGCCCGTGCTACTTGCCCCGCTCCTGTGCCAGGTAAGCCCACTACGGGCTCACCATAGCCTGTGCTACTTGCCCCGCTCCTGTGCCAGGTAAGCCCACTACGGGCTCACCATAGCCCGTGCTACTTGCCCCGCTCCTGTGCCAGGTAAGCCCACTACGGGCTCACCATAGCCTGTGCTACTTGCCCCGCTCCTGTGCCAGGTAAGTCCACTACGGGCTCACCATAGCCCGTGCTACTTGCCCCGCTCCTGTGCCAGGTAAGCCCACTACGGGCTCACCATAGCCCGTGCTACTTGCCCCGCTCCTGTGCCAGGTAAGCCCACTACGGGCTCACCATAGCCTGTGCTACTTGCCCCGCTCCTGTGCCAGGTAAGCCCACTACGGGCTCACCATAGCCCGTGCTACTTGCCCCGCTCCTGTGCCAGGTAAGCCCACTACGGGCTCACCATAGCCTGTGCTACTTGCCCCGCTCCTGTGCCAGGTAAGTCCACTACGGGCTCACCATAGCCCGTGCTACTTGCCCCGCTCCTGTGCCAGGTAAGCCCACTACGGGCTCACCATAGCCCGTGCTACTTGCCCCGCTCCTGTGCCAGGTAAGCCCACTACGGGCTCACCATAGCCCGTGCTACTTGCCCCGCTCCTGTGCCAGGTAACTCCACTACGGGCTCACCATAGTCCGTGCTACTTGCCCTGCTCCTGTGCCAGGTAAGTCCACTACGGGCTCACCATAGCCTGTGCTACTTGCCCCGCTCCTGTGCCAGGTGAGCCCACTACGGGCTCACCATAGCCCGTGCTACTTGCCCCGCTCCTGTGCCAGGTAAGCCCACTACGGGCTCACCATAGCCTGTGCTACTTGCCCCGCTCCTGTGCCAGGTAAGCCCACTACGGGCTCACCATAGCCCGTGCTACTTGCCCCGCTCCTGTGCCAGGTAAGTCCACTACGGGCTCACCATAGCCTGTGCTACTTGCCCCGCTCCTGTGCCAGGTAAGTCCACTACGGGCTCACCATAGCCCGTGCTACTTGCCCCGCTCCTGTGCCAGGTAAGCCCACTACGGGCTCACCATAGCCTGTGCTACTTGCCCCGCTCCTGTGCCAGGTAAGTCCACTACGGGCTCACCATAGCCCGTGCTACTTGCCCCGCTCCTGTGCCAGGTAAGTCTACTACGGGCTCACCATAGCCCGTGCTACTTGCCCCGCTCCTGTGCCAGGTAAGCCCACTACGGGCTCACCATAGCCCGTGCTACTTGCCCCGCTCCTGTGCCAGGTAAGCCCACTACGGGCTCACCATAGCCTGTGCTACTTGCCCCGCTCCTGTGCCAGGTAAGCCCACTACGGGCTCACCATAGCCTGTGCTACTTGCCCCGCTCCTGTGCCAGGTAAGTCCACTACGGGCTCACCATAGCCCGTGCTACTTGCCCCGCTCCTGTGCCAGGTAAGCCCACTACGGGCTCACCATAGCCTGTGCTACTTGCCCCGCTCCTGTGCCAGGTAAGTCCACTACGGGCTCACCATAGCCCGTGCTACTTGCCCCGCTCCTGTGCCAGGTAAGCCCACTACGGGCTCACCATAGCCTGTGCTACTTGCAACTTTTTGTTCCGAGTAGCTGAATCTTAAGCAATAACGGATAACAGCCTCATTAGACGTTGAGATGTAAGTCTCGTCCTAATCAGACACCTTCATAAAGCACTCGAGTGCGAAAGACTTGGTGTAAATTCCTTATATAAATTTCACTTGTACACAAGTGTGGGTTTTATCAAATAATAATAATAATAGTTTTTATTCGAAAGAATGTTTATAAAGATCATAAGAGTAATGCCCGTGTTGATCACCTACCCCTCAACAGTCACCTTGCAAAGTCGGGTGAGGCTAGCCCCAATTAAGTGTCTGACCTCCATCTTTGGACGTGAATTCACTCCTACAGTAAGCAAAAACTGGCAAAAAATTCCCATAGTAATTTAGTTTTGAACGTATGCAATAGGAATATAATTCAATTATTTTCATAATTTATTATGAAAATTCTGAATAATTCAATTATTTTCATAATTTATTATGAAAATTCTGAATAATTCAATTATTCATAATTTTTGCCCGAAACGCTATGCGTACTAGTGGCTATAGGTATTGTATGTACTATCTCTATCTTTAAGTCCAACATTATGTATGTAACTCAATGTATGTACTTTTACCTGAATAAAAAAATCTAAATATAATAATTCCCTTTCGTCGGGGATTGTATTTTGTACTATGTAACTATTGTTGTTGTTGTTATAGATTCATCTACTCGGAACAAGTTCCAAGTAGCACGGGCTATGGTGAGCCCGTAACTTACCTGGTACAGGAGCGGGACAAGTAGCACGGGCTATGGTGAGCCCGTAACTTACCTGGTACAGGAGCGGGACAAGTAGCACGGGCTATGGTGAGCCCGTAACTTACCTGGTACAGGAGCGGGACAAGTAGCACGGGCTATGGTGAGCCCGTAACTTACCTGGTACAGGAGCGGGACAAGTAGCACGGGCTATGGTGAGCCCGTAACTTACCTGGTACAGGAGCGGGACAAGTAGCACGGGCTATGGTGAGCCCGTAACTTACCTGGTACAGGAGCGGGACAAGTAGCACGGGCTATGGTGAGCCCGTAACTTACCTGGTACAGGAGCGGGACAAGTAGCACGGGCTATGGTGAGCCCGTAACTTACCTGGTACAGGAGCGGGACAAGTAGCACGGGCTATGGTGAGCCCGTAACTTACCTGGTACAGGAGCGGGACAAGTAGCACGGGTGTGTAACTATATTCATGTTTGTTTTGTATCGAGGTGACCCCCTCACCCCTCCAAGGTCGAACCACAGACCCTCCCCAGGACTCGACCCCCACAATGGTTGTTTAACTCCCGGGTACCTATTTTCTGCAAGGTGAACAGGTGCATTAGGTGAAATGAAACGTGCCAAACCAATGAATTGTCCGTTCATTTGTATTTGCGACAGATGGTCTACCACAACTAACACTTTCGATATATATATATATACACGAGCTAGTATCGTATCATGCATTATGCAACACCAGTGTCCAGTATATTGCAAGATAGTTGCATGACATATTCTGGTTCAAGCCGGCACTTGTTAAAATAATAATCAGGTTTGGAGACAGAATCTGCGTGCAAGATGCACAATTGTATAATTGCAATGACATAATGGTTATATATATGAGTTTATTAATAATATATTTTCAGTGGCAATGCTTGAAAAAAGATTTGCAACGTTATGAAAATTAATTTATATGATCAGCTGAGTATGTGAATTGAGAATCTAAAGTTTTCTATAAACAATCCATTACCAATAATTTTAATTTATAAAATACAACACGAACATGGTATTTTTATTGATATAGTAATAAGCTTTTGTTAATATATTTCTGGTTTATGGTTCTAAACAGGTTAGTGTGAGGGAGCGAGAGTCAGCTGTTGTTTACATGTGGGGTCCCAGGCCGGAGTGACCAGTGTTGACAAACAACCTGTGGGGCTCCAGACATTACCGGCGGGGCTCCTGATAAAATACGGGCTCACCCTAGCCCGTGCTACTTGGAACATCTTGTTCCAAGTAACTGAATGTAAAACAACAATCCAGGCAACACCTGTGGGGGGCTCCAGGCAACACTTGCCGTGCTCCAGACTACTCTTGTACGGGCTGAAGACAATACATACAACGGCTCCAGACACGCATCTAACATGGTAATGGTCTACTGCAGTAGTTAGCCAAGTGAATACATTGTAGTTCTGAAGGTTTGGCTTTGATGTAGATATCTATATAATAGGGTATGGATATAAGGCATATCCATATAGCAGGGTACAGAAGTAGGGCACCTCTATATAGCAGGGTACAGATGTAGGGCACCTCTATATAGCAGGGTACAGATGTAGGGCACCTCTATATAGCTGGGTACAGATGTAGGGCACCTCTATATAGCAGGGTACAGATGTAGGGCACCTCTATATAGCAGGGTACAGATGTAGGGCACCTCTATATAGCAGGGTACAGATGTAGGGCACCTCTATATAGCAGGGTACAGATGTAGGGCACCTCTATATAGCAGGGTACAGATGTAGGGCACCTCTATATAGCAGGGTACAGATGTAGGGCACCTCTATATAGCAGGGTACAGATGTAGGGCACCTCTATATAGCAGGGTACAGATGTAGGGCACCTCTATATAGCAGGGTACAGATGTAGGGCACCTCTATATAGCAGGGTACAGATGTAGGGCACCTCTATATAGCAGGGTACAGATGTAGGGCACCTCTATATAGCAGGGTACAGATGTAGGGCACCTCTATATAGCAGGGTACAGATGTAGGGCACCTCTATATAGCAGGGTACAGATGTAGGACACCTCTATATAGCAGGGTACAGATGTAGGACACCTCTATATAGCAGGGTACAGATGTAGGGCACCTCTATATAGCAGGGTACAGATGTAGGGCACCTCTATATAGCAGGGTACAGATGTAGGGCACCCCTATATAGCAGGGTGCAGTTTTTATGCGAGTTTAACTGTAGATGATTTTGGCATTCACCACCACCTCACTTAACATGTTCCTGCCTTCTACCGCCCTATTTGCCTTACTAAAGTTTATGTTTTCTCAGCATTTTTGTGTCCTTAGCTCAAATCTATAACTAAATGTTACTGAAGTTCCTGGTTACAAAAATTGTTAGTTTTGTTGATTTTCATTAGTATTTTATATTCATATCACCTTTTTCTTCTATCTTCTAGCTTTGGTATATTTAACATCTCTAGCTTCTCCTCGTAGCTCTTGTTTTTCAGTTCCAGAAGTCATTTTGTTGCATGTCTTTGCATCTCAAGAAGCATATCAGCACATTGCTGATGTGCTTAGATAAGGGAACCATACATCTTCCAATTTTCATGTCATAAATGTCATGAACAACTACTGTAATTCAATATTTCACCATCCATGTATTTAAAAGCAATTTTGAAGTTGGAAAGCATAGCATAGACTCCTCTCGCACTATTCCTAATATGTGAGAGAGTTTTTCAGGTAAAAGTTTTTACCTTGGGTAAGTTTTTCTGTCCTGAACCACCCTCGAGATCTTCTCAGAGTTCTTAAAAACCCTTTCACATAATTTGTAAGTTGGGTGTGGCCTATTTTCTCCTATTTCACATTTCATAATGTGGCATTTATTCACATGCCATCACATACCATTAAATGCCATCTGCTAAAGTGATGTTCCATATATTTATTTTGTCCAGGTCATATTGAAGGGCATGACGATTGTCTAAGTTTCTGACCTTCTCTAGTAGCTTAACATCATCAGCAAATATGTTCATGTAATAATGTATTTCTTCTGGCACAGTATTCATATAGACCAACATTAGTGGTACGAGAGCTGAACCCTGTGGTACTCCACTACAGTAGTAGCTTTTCTCCAGTCTGATATATTACCTCTGATTACTGCCCTCATTTTTCTGTCTATTAGAAAATGTTTCATCCATGTCAAAAGTGTTGCCATCACTCCTCCAGCATGTTCCAGTTTCAAGAACAACCTCTTATGTGAGACTGTCAATTTTTTTTTTTCTCCAGATAGTCAACCCAGCCATCTCTTCCCTGTAAAACCTTTCAGACTATATCATCATAGAAACTAAGCAGATTTATTATACAGCATCTTCCTGTTTGAAAGCTATACTCTCTGTCTGTTATTACATCATTTCTCTGCAGGTGTTTTACCTATTTGTAACTATTTTTTCTAGTGGTTTTTGACTACCATGCTAGTCACAATCGACTTGATAATGGTCCAGGATGGACCGAAACGTCATTCTCTCTTCAATTTCTAGTGTGTGGTTTGGTCAACATTTTTCAGCCACGTTATTGTGACTCATCATCTGCATGATCGTCAACAATACAGGTCTAGTTGAGAGTCTCTTCTCTGTTACCAGTCTTTTTCCTTATATCTGCTAAGGTATATTCCTGAAAAATCAATTTAAGTGAAATATTCAGTTCAGATGTGCATTTTCCCAGACCTCAAAGTGTAATTCCATCTAGGCCAACTGCTTTGTTTTCTGCCTTGCTCCTTGGGCGTTTTTTCCACTTCACATTGAAACACCTCTTTGTACTCTGTTGTTCTCTGAAGTCCATGTTGTCTGGTTTTCTGAAAGCCTCTTTTTGTACAAACACATTTTGAAACCATTCATTTAGTAATTCACACATTTTTTTTTATTGTGTAAATCTGTTGCCCATTTCAAACCTCTGGATTTTATCCCTTACCTATAATTTGCTTTTAATGAACTTATAGAACAGGTCTGGTTCTGTTTTAGACTTGTCCATTATCCCTTTCTCAAAATTTCTTTCTCTAATGTTTCTGTTGGTCTCCTAAACCTACTATTTTCTCATTGTTTTCTTTCTCTTTTTTTTCTGCTCTTTCCACCCTAGATAGTATCTCCTTTTTTTAAACATTCAAAATCTATTATAGACTTGGAGTACTTTTATTAAGTGTTCTGTACTGATTTACTTTTGGTAACCAGTTGTTCATAATTATTTGTCTACAGTTCCTGACTTGTCATTCCTATTTTTGACTTCTAAACACTACTGTTAAGTTTCTTTCTCCTTTACAACTTGTGCATAAGTTTCTTTTATTTCCTCTTTACACTTTCCTATCCCTTAGTAACTTTTTCCATTTAAGTTGCTCACAAGTTTGTTTACTTACCTTTGCCAAACACCTGATTTGAACTAGCTTATATGCTTACCTTGCGGCGATTTCGGGGCTCGGCATTCCCGCGGTCCATTTCTCGACCAGGCCTCCTGGTTGCTGGACTAGTCAACCAAGCTGTTGGACACAGCTGTGGGCAACCTGATGTATGAATCACAGCCTGGTTGATCAGGTATCTTCTTGAGGTGTTTATCAAATTTTCTCTTGAACACTGTGAGGGGTCCTCCAGTTATGCTCCTTATGTGTAGTGGAAGCATGTTGAACAGTCTCGGGCTTCTGATGTTGATAGAGTTCTCTCTCTCTGAGTACCTATTGCACCTCTGTTTTTCAACGGGGGTATTCTACACATCCTGCCATGCCTTCTGGTCTCATGTGGTGTTACTTCTGTGTACAGGTTTGGGACCAGCCCTTCTAATATTTTCCACATATAAATTATTATGTATCTCTCCCGTCTGCACTCAGGGGAATACAGATTTAGTTATATTAGTTGGTCCCAATAGTTTAGATGTTTTACTGAATGGATTCTAAGTGGATGTTTTTCTGATTGGATAATTCTAGAACTTGCACAGAGTTCGTGTCCAAATTTATCAGTCTTTCTGTTAGTCTTCAAATTTGTCTGTCATGTTTTTCAGTCGTATTTTCTGTCACTAGAGCCTTAATTCGTTCCTCCTGCCTCCCTTACAATATTGGTCAAGCTAATAACACACTTCTTTTGTTGCAAAATACATTCTTGCAGAAGTACAATTTTACCTCTTAAGATACAAAAAGAAATAACATTAACATGATGTAAGAAACTTTAATCAATTAATCCTTAGAAAATTTTAAATTTTGACTTACCTGCCAAGTAACCCTCCTTTCGTTATTTGTTCTTCGCTTAAACCTTTGAAATTTTTCCTGCGTTGTCTGACAGTGCGTTGTTTGGCCAAGTTTGCCATCATTATAATTTTCATCTGTTTCTGGTGGCCCTTGCTTCAAATTTCCCAAATTTGTATACTTTTCAGTATTTCCAACTCTCCACCTTTTATTACTGCACAGATTTTGGTATATTTATTGCATCTGGGACGCTTTGTTTACACCTTTCACTACAACTTAGATAAGATAATCCTGGAGCTTTCTGTTATGTGTCGTCTGCGCAGATGGTGTGTAGGTGGGTGGGAGAGGGGCGAAGACTCACTGTTCCGCATATACATGATGGCTAGCTACATAGCCGCATACATGCAAATGCACAATTTTTAATAATGAAGAAAAAGCCACAGCTGATTATACTACACCCCTTCCCACTGACAAGCAGTTAGGATTAACATACTCTATATATTAATTAAGCTGGGTTAATATACTCTATATATTAAGCTATTAATTAAGCTGGGCAATACAACCTTATTGGCCTGCCTGAAATGTTATGCATGTTAGTGGCTTTGCAAGAATGCCATAATTAATTATCAATGTATATACTTTCACAACTCATTGCACTATCTTGTATATATATAAATAAATATAAAAGCCTGTATCACAACATAACTTTAGCTTTATTTTGTGCTATTTATTTTACAGGATTCGGATGACAGCGGTTTTAATTCGTATAGACGCTCTAAGAAAATTCCGCCCCCTGTGCCAAAAAAGAAGCCCAAGAGAGATGCTACTGTTTTAGAAGTTGAATATGACACTGATTCTCAAGAATCATTGTACTCTGACCCCATTCTTGACATTTCAAGGGAGGAGTTTGTTGCATGTGATGACTTAACAAGACTGCCAATTTTATATGATGACATTGGTATGTGTTTAAGAAATCGGTTGTATCTTAAATTACTATGTCATTGTGAGGTGGTGTAGACAAGCTCTGCATCTTTTGCATGAAATTGTAACTGCAAACATTGAAGATTCGGTATTATATCTTCATATTTTTAATGTTTTGCAATGATTTGTTTTTACGGTGCAATGATGCATTGGGCTGTCAATAAATAATACTAATGTTACTGTATTTATATCGGAGAACTGTAGAACATAGGTAAGCACATATTTTTGTGTCAGTTTTATGTGCTCACTATTATATTCCTTGAACATTAAAACATAGTTTTTGCTGTTATTACACAATATACACATCATATCTATCTACATTTTTATGTACCATAATGAACTATTAAGCAAGTCTTGTGGGTGTACTGTAGTAATGAAATCCAAGCACTGCATAGTGCCCCACACTACCAGCAGTTGACACCACCTGACTGCAAAATGCCTTGCAGTATACTATGCACATCGCTAACTCTAGCCATAACACTGCTATTACATTATCATCAGATTAGTGTCACCAAGTCATTAAGATTAGTGTCATTAATTGTAAAGACCAACTGCCCCCATTGGGTCTCTTCCCTCAGGCTATAGGGACTTCTTAGCTGGTCCAATTTTTCTTAAATTAACTTTATCTCATAACCTAGGTATTTGTGCCAAGTTAGGTTATTAACTTTAATATATTGCTCACTGTTCAACATTTTGAGTGCAATGTCTCACATTGGTACACACATTGTACTCATTCATTGTAGAATAGTGATTTATGAAGATTTATTTATTTTATGGGATTGAGGTATGCTCTGGGCAAAGCTCTAAGTCCATTAGAAGGCAGACAAGACAGTCTGAAAAGGTTATCCTTCTAGTGTAGAATTTCACTTAAAACTTTTCCCTTGTCTGTGTCCAATGAAGGCTAAAAGGGAATCTATTGAGGGAGGGAGTAGGTTCGAACCCTCTTAATGGCACGTGTGGATTTGTTCATTCTCATGTCATTGTTTGTGTGGAATTTACAGCCAGGGTCCTGCTTAAGAATTGTCAGACTTTTTTATATATTTTTATTTAGTAAAGGGTTATTCTAATTATTATCAGCTTTATTTAAGCATTTAATTCTCAAAAAGCAGCTATCACCAAAAGTGTCATTCTGCCTGTGAGTAAAATTAAAACAAAAGATAAATAATCCACTTTACAATATTTTACTTTTAATTCTGTTTTCTTGAGTTTATACATCATTCTTTATAACTGTGTGTGTATATCACGAAAATAAACATTTATTTATATAAATATTTATTTAAATAAATATTTATTTATAACTATATAATTAAAAAGAACTTTGAATGTACTGTACTATTCTTATAGTAAACTGCTAGTATTGAGTAGTTACTAACCTTATATTTTTTGCCGATTTCTAGTTTTAGAATGTGTGTGTTTACGGTATATCGAGGGCCTTTTCTACACGTGGGCGGGCCCAACACTGGTGGCAGCTAACCCATGTTGTCCCGTGAACCACTTGTATACTTCTTCCCAGATAAAACATCACCATGACCAGGTGAAGGTAAGATAACACTATATATTTAAAATGTTTTTTTATAGAGGTTGTCACAAGTCATTCGAGCTTTTACTATTACAAGATAAGATGGATTATTTGACGATGAAAGTGTTAGCACCGAACTATTCCTCTGGAATTGTTTGTGTTTTCTGCGAAAATGCTTCAAAATTTTTACAAAACTCAAAAATGAAATGCAAACATTTAGTTTTTTTTTCTAATAAAACATGTACCTTTTCTAAGAATAGGAAAGAAACCGATTGCAAAACATGCAGTAAGAATTTATTTATTAATGTTTAGGGTATTGAAGCAGAATTTAAGTCTGGCTGCCATAATGCTAAAAGGTTCAATTTGCCATGTGAAGCATCACTGATATTTTAATCATTGGCAATATTGTTCTTCCCTTGGAACACCACATTTCCAATGTGAGAGGATTACTTGTTGTAAGAACCTGGTGGACAACTGTGAGACTCCTCTTCTGGCCTAAGGTTGCACACTCATGTTCTCCAAAGCTGTCGTTTCAAGTAATTTCCAGGCTGTCGATGTGGATCTTCATAGAAACTAATACTGTATTTTCCCGTAACTTACCAAGCATATATTCTCTTATGTTCTTTTACTAAAGTATTTATAATAAATATTTATAATTAAAGTGCTTTAAAAAATTTTCAGTGTGGTGCTGACAGGCGTGATGCGCATGTGTACAGTGTTGTGGGTGTAGCTCATCATCGTCTCACTCATGATCTTGGCCTTATAAATCAAGCTGTTTTGGTTTCCGGGGAGAGTGGTGCAGGAAAGGTAAAAAAAAATAAAATTTTATATACTGTACATGGAGCAATGCAGTATAATATAGTGAAAGGAGGTCATAGGTATTCAAAAGTAGCACGCGTCCATTTATTATATTGGTTACTATATTACATCGTAGATAAGCATCACCACACAGTAACAGTCATCTACAGCAGCAGCACTCCCATTGCTTCATTAGGCCAGTTGTTCAGTGTTCCTTGTGAATTATGTATAGTACAGTAATTACAAGTATATTCACCCTCTTATTACAAGTTGTTGCCACCATACTTTCTCACCTACAATAATTATCTCTACTCACTTCTCTCTCTACTTTCTTCTCTCTCTCTACACTCTCCTTGGTCCACTTTCCTTGATTAAGCAAAAGAAATGTTGAGTATCAAGTTAATATTTGGCAGTGTGAGATACAGTGTGCTTAATTTTTATTAAAAATTTAATTTAATGTATTGTAGTTTAACAGTTGAATAAAGGTATTAAGAAGTGTTTGGATAAAATTACTATGCAGTATATAGCTTTCAAATTGATACAGGTTAGTTGCTAAAAGAATGATATATTATTTCTTTGTAGACTGAATCTGCTCGTTACATGTTGGGATACTTGACACATGTTGAAACAAAGTTTCCTCAAGTTCCACGCTCACCATTAAAGGGTGTGTGGGAGGACAAGGAGCCTAGGGACATCCAGGATAAGATCTTGGCTTCTAATCCTATTCTTGAAGCGTTTGGTAATGCTGCCACTCTTCGCAACCATAATTCCAGCAGGTATGTGAAAAATATTGCACAAGATATAAATATTTAATATAATTGGGTTGAACATTTCCCGGTTGTGATTTGTCTCGTGTTGTGTTTCAGATTTGGAAAACTGATCCGTCTACAGTATGGAGGGCGTCAACTGCGTGGGGCTGAGATTGACACTTACCTATTGGAGAAAACCAGGGTTACTCACCAGCCAGAGAGCGAGCGAAATTTTCATATATTTTACCAGGTTATTAAATATTTCTGTGTTAGTTTAGGCTCTTGTTTACATACAGAATTAGGATACATGACTTGACAATGGTCCAGATGGACCGAAACTTCATTTTCTTTATTTTCAGATTTGTTATTTTTGGCCACATTATTGTGAATTATTGTCTTCATACAAAATTATGCTTTGATATGAGGTCTATGACAGCTTGTTTAAAAATCTTAGCCAGAATTCTTAAGTTAATATGTAATTACTTGAGTGTAGTTACAAGATGAGAGCTACGTTTGTGGTGTCCCATCTTCCCAGTACTCTTTGTCGTATAACGCTTTGAAACTATTGAGGGTTTTGGCCTCCACCACCTTCTCACTTAGCTTGTTTCAACCTTCTACCACCCAAGGTGAAACTCCATCAGGTTCAACATCTTTATTTCTTCCTAGGCCTATGAGTAATTTTTCCTCTTCATCTTGAGATACTTTTGTGTGTTCTATGGCATGTTCTGGAATTGGTATTTGATTCGGCTTCCTGAAATCTTCATTTTGTACAAATACACTTTGGAACTGTTTGTTTAGCATTTCACACATTTCTTTTTCATTCTCAGTAGTCCTGTTCCTTGTTCTTAATCTCTAGATTTTATCTTTTATGTCCAGCTTGCTTTTAATGAATTTGTAGAAAAGGCCTGGATCTGTTTTACATTTGTCCACTATATCTTTCTCAAAGTTCCTTTCTGCCTCTCCTCACTGCTGTGTAATTGTTTCTTGTTTGTTTGTAATGCTTAAATGTTTGTGGGTTAGGCCTCTTCTGATATTGAACCCATTTTCTTGTCTTTTCCTCTCAGGCCCTCTCACATTTTCTGTTGAACCAATCCTGTTTTCTGGTCTTGCATCTCTGTTTTGGAATGAATGTTTGTGTGCCTTCATCATATATTTTTCAAAATTTGGCATACATCTCGTTTATTTCCTTGCCTAGCAACAAGTCTGTCCTATTAAACTTGTTAAAGAATTTTCTAAGTTCCCCATAGTGTCCTCTCTTGAAATCAAGTTTATCAACTGTTTCAATGTTCCCATTCTCTTCTAGATTGTATTGCAAAGCATATTTAATTTCCAAGAGGACATGATCACTCTATCCCAATGGAGGAAGGTACAAGGTACTGGATGTCAAATATCTCCTCTTCTTTCCTGGTGAATATTAGATCCAGTATTGGCAGAACATTCACTTCCCTCATTCTTGAGGCCTGTTTGATGTGTTGATGCATGAATGTCTCCAGAATGAGGTTTACAAATCTGCTTGTCCAAAAGTCCTCTGTTCTTTCTTCGTAGGCCTCCCAGTCTATTGCTTTCTAAATTGAAGTCCTCCAGTACCAACAATTGTGACTTATGTTGACCAGACCACACACTAGAAGGTGAAAGGACGACGATGTTTCGGTCCGACTTGGACCACAATCGACTTGAGAGTGGTCCAGGACTGACCGAAACGTCGTTGTTCCTTCACCTTCTAGTGTGTGGTATGGTCAACATACTTTAGCCACGTTATTGTGACTCATCGCCTGCAATTGTGACTTCTCTCTCTACACCCTTACTACACTCTCTTATGACCCTTCTGAGGGCCCTCTCGTTTGTCATCCAGTTCCTTCTTTGTCCATGTGTTGCTTGCTGGTGGGCTGTAGGCATTTACGATTATCAGTTCTATCATCCTGATTCCAGACCTGCAATGCCGATATGTCAACTTCTGGAGGGTTTTCGATTATTAACACTCTTACCAACACAGCCACTCCTTTCCCCTTCCTAGTTTTCCCTGTCACGTCTCCAAACTGAGTCGCCCCTTGAGAATACGACCTCATTTAAAATGTTTTCTTTAAGTTTCGTCTCTGTTAGTGCGACAATATCTGGGACCTTAAGCTGAATTATGTATCTTGGTTCCAATATTTTTTATCTCGCTCCATCTATGTTGGTATATACAATTTTCAGGAACATGTTCCTCTTCCCTTCGTCTTTTATTTCCCACTTTCCTTAAATGATTTTGTTGTTTTTGTGTACCATTTCACTAGCTTTCCAGTCGCTAACACTTTGTAGAAAAAGAATTTCTTCTTCATTTCTATTCCCATTTAGACGTTTCGCTTCATTGAGATATGTTTTCAGCTTTCTTCTTTCTTCCTTTGAGAGGTCTTGTCTTATAGAACAAAGTTGGCAAACCTCATTACTGCAATTTCTTGGCATTTCTAAGCACTTCCGTCATTTGTTTCACTCCATTAAATGTCACCTTTAAGGGGCGGTTCTTGTCTTTCACATATTTTTCTATCCTAAAATCACTGACATTATCCTTTGAAGTGAGGCCTTCTCCTAAACCTACTATTTTCTCTGAGTTTCATCTCTTCTGTGTGTTTGTTTAATCATGTGTGTGTGTTTGTATATCAACAGGTTTTATCAGGTGTGAGATCAGGGTTACTAAAAGACTTGATGCTTGATGAGGAAGAGAGATTTGCCATCCTGCCAGGTGATATGACAGCAGCAGACCTCACAAATCTTGAAGAGACTTTGTGTGCATTCCAGCAACTGAATTTCTCAAGTAGCCACCAAAAGGAAATATTTCAGGTAAATTATATAAGAGATGAAAGGGAACTTCATGATGAGGTTAGTGCAAGTTCCCATATCCAGTAACTACAAGAGGTCGGGGAGAATTCCTAACATAACCCTGAATGACTGACAGAAGGTAAAATCCTCTACACAACCTTTTTAATAATACAGTACTTGGTCATATAAACTTTTAAATATGGTTCTGTTACTCCTAATAGCATAAACTACTTGCATGCCTGGATGATGATGCCATCTGTCACTGAAGGGGTGGCAGCATTGATAGTTTGAGAGATAACCAACTACCTCGCCTCACTTTTTACATGCCACCAGTCATCCACAGAAAAACCCCACTCCTTCATAGGATCAGGTGTACAGTGCCTCTTTGTAAATTGTCAAATACTGTATCATACAAATACCTTTACCTCCTGGCAAATTGCTTCAATCTAACTTTATTTCTCACTATACTGTCGACACTTCCCTTCTCTCCACAGACTTGCTTGAATCCCACTCCCCCACTCAGTTCCTGCTTCCCCACTTACTGGCTCGATTCTCGCTCCCCCACTAGCTCACTTCCAACTTGCCTGCTAACTTGCTTACTCCCCTCTTCCCCACCCATTCGCTAGCTCCCTGCTTTGTCACTCATTCATCATGCCTGTGCACTTTATTTCCGGCTTTCTTGCTCTTTCTCCACCATCAAATTCACTTGATTATATACCAGGGTACCCTCGCTTTTATTTAAGTCTAAGGAGTTATAGATATTTTAAGGAACAGTATTAAAATAAATGTTGTGTGTGTAAAGCTCCAGTATTCCCAAGCCTTCCAAGCCAGTTCTGGAGTAGATGTTAAGAATACACATACCAACTGATGAACCTGAAAGGGAGGGAGGGAGGGGGGGGGGAGTTGGGAAGGCACCAGGACTTATCAAGAAAGAGGCATTTCATTACATTCAATGCTTGTTTTCTGGGAAAGCCCCTTATGACTTCTTGAAGCTAAGTGCCCATGGAGAAGAATGACTTACCAAGCAGGAGAGGAAATTGCAAATATTAAAGACAAGTAAGAGACAACTGGCCGAGAGGGACTATCCAAGGCAACACAGGCATGATGAGGCCTAAGAACATTAACTAAATACTAGGCCATCAAGACCCTGTCAGACTGCCAAAACCAGTGTGCCTGAATATCAGCCCAGGACACATTAGCAAAGACCTCTTCAAGAGCAACATATTTATGAGCTTAAGGGCATGAGGGTAGACTGCAGGCTGGCTGGACTTGATGACACTGCAGAAGACCTGAGAAACACAAGCCTTGAAACAGGGAACCAAGGAAGAAAGATCAACCCATGAAGTGTTCAAAGAAGTAGAATAGATGGCACAAAGGTGGTAGCAAAGAGCTGCCACTGGGCATAGCACATGATGCACCAACAACTAGAGGACCCCTCCAAAAGCCCTCTAACTTTCTTTCCTAAAAGTGGAGACTGCTGTAAATGAGCATAACACCAAACAGGGCCAAAAGAACAAAAGCCCTGCCTCCAGAAAAGAGCATGCAGCTCCCCAACTCTACAGCCAGAGGTCTGCACTAACAAACTGCTTTAAAAAATCAGATTGAGAAACTATAAACTAAAGGAAGAAAGACAAGAACATGGTCAAGAGACCAGGAGGGGACAGGCGGCGCATAAAAAGCCAGAGGTGAAATAGTGAGAGATGGTTTCTGAAGCCGTGCTGAGGTGGTATTGATGCTGAATGCAAGTAGTAGTGGCTCCACCAGTGCCAAACGATAAAAGGTGACAATATTAGGCATAAGATTCTGGTCAAGTAGAACTAAAAGAAACGAATAACAGTACTATCAGATATATACAAAAAAGATACAGTACAGGCCTAAAAGTTTTAATTGTAGTGCAGAGCCAAAAATTTGTTTAAGATAATTTACTAATGTGTGAAGGTGAAGAGACCTCAGAAGAAACTTAACCAGTCAAGATGAAAATATATGAATAATGGAAAATTCAAAGGGCCATTTGGCTCCTACGAGGCAGCTCCTATTGGCCCTTATGAGACAGCTCCAGAAAAGTTGACACACACACAAGGCAGCTTTTATTGACCCATATGAGGCTGATGCTATTTATTTCCACCCAAACAACTCGCTCATATATGTTGTTTGAAATGGAGTGATCCCATGTCTATTATGTTACCCGGTAGTTTGTTGCACAAGTTGTTGAAATTGCAATTGGCATTTAAAGTGGTCATGCTGATTGATAGAATTGGTATTAGAAGGATCAGATTTCAACAACTTCTAACAGATATTAGAATATGTCCTTCTAATAGATATTAGAAGAACACTTGTTCATAAAACAATTAATATTAATATTTTTCAGTTCATAACTCAAGAAGAATGTTGATTAAAGCTGATTGGATCTCACCATATTTACTAATAGTTTGCTTCCTTTGCCAGCTGCAACATCTTCAGAAATCAGTAAGATTTCTTCTCTTTCTAGGTTATAGCAGCTATACTGTTCTTGGGGAACATCAGCTTTACTCTAGAGGAAGGAGACACTAATTGGACTGTAAATATGCAAAGTAGAGGTAATGCTTATTATTGCTGTATCTAGAGTTATATTATTTTGCTTCATATATTTTATTGCTTAGCTTAAACAACTTGGATACAGTGAAAGCATTGTCAGTTTGTTTACATTTTCTTGTACAATACTGTACTCATCACTTTTATGGACTTTCAGACTGTGTGAAGAGTTTACAAGCAGCTTGTTTGTTGTTGGGGTTGGATGTAGACCAACTGGTTAATACCTTAACCATCCATACCATCAGTGTCAGTAGTGCCCAAAAGGTTAGTACACGCTTTTAATAATAATAATAATCCATTTTGGCCTGTCTGTTGTTTCAGGAGGCAAGATTCTTCTGTATCGGACAGAAAATTTGTGATATTTGGCAGGACGACATTCAGCACTGACTATGCAGGAATCTATTTAGGCCGTGTCCATTTAGGGTCATGTTAGGCATTATGGAGTCACTGGAGAAAACCTTAATTCTGCTCTGAATATTTGTCAAAGGTACATTAAATGTCGTATTTTCTGGCATTCAAGGCTTGCTGGAAATTTTAATAAGTAGAACCAAAATACGAAGGTCGACAGACTGCTCAATGACATGAGTAGCAGTCAAACATCTTTGAAATGGTCACAGGAAAATCAAAATCTCTCCTTCAGTAGGAAAATAAGGATCTTATCAATAGACCAAGCAGATGAGAAGAGCATAAGAAGGGCAAACGTAGAGGAATGCTTATGAAAGTTAAGGAAAGTACTGGAGAGGGTGATGAAGATGCTTAGCTGGAGGGGTTCTGCAAGTGCTGGTCTCTATGAGGCAATCTCATGAGGCATCAACCTTCTTTCTTTGAGAAAACAAGAAAAAAGGAAGAATCATAACCCACAGCTGTGGGCTACTACCCCATGCAGTACTACTTACTGTGAGCTTAAGGGTCTGGGAGAGTAATTTCTCAACCTTCTTCAAACACGCAAACTTTTTGTGCATGACTTACATGGTAAATGCTCCAACTTTTAATGATGGTTCAATATCATAACATGAACAGGAAAAACAAAACCCCCAAAAATATATTTAAAAAAATTGAAAATTTCACAATTTCAAATCAAGTTGACAAATTTAATATTACACAAATTTTTATTTTATTCACTATGGGCTCAGAATGACATAACATTTATGTTCTAATAATTAAAATTAAATTTGGGAGTACAGTGACACCTCGGTTTACGAATGCCCCTCTGTACGAACTTTTCGGATTATGAGTCCAATTTCTTAGTAAAATCTGAATCGGGTTACGAACTTTGCCTTGGGTAACGTAGTTTGTCGATACGCGTATGGCCGACCTAGTGCGTGGTGGCACGGCGACCGCACCTCAGTTTACCAGTGCCTCCCACCTAGTGACAATCGTGCCTGAGTTCTTTGTAAAGAATTTCAGTGTTTTTGATTTTTGGGTATTTGAACATAAAAGTAATTATAATATATCTTGCCATGGGTCTCAAAGTCAGTGGTAAGGTTCAACATAAGAAAATAGTTGTGAGTAGAGGCAGTAGAGGGTGTCTCTTCCTCATTAAGAAAATGTGTGCAGTATGAGAAGAACTGCAAAAGTTTTGTTGAAAAAACTCGCCCAGATAAAGCTGTAGCAGGCTGTTGCATTGACCTTTTAAATGACAGTGTGATGTCTCACTACAGACAAGTGTTAAAATGTAGGGAAAAAAAGTGTCTTTAGACAGATTCTTAGTAAGACAAGCAAGCAGTGAGCCCAACCAGGTCCTAGAGGTACTTTTGCAAAATGTAGGAGAGAAAGTACCCCAGAGAAGTCATCACTGCCTGATGTTATAATGTAAGGGGACTCTCCTTCCAAACACTATCACCTCTCCTCCTCCCCACCCTTTTCATCGTCTTTTATACGCCAACAAGAGTCATCGTTAAAGGTAAGCTTTATAACTTGTACATACTTTAATACTAAAGATTTGGGTGAATTAGATATAAAATTTACTTTGACGTTAATATTTTTGGGAGTGTGGAACAGATTAATTCAATTTACATTATTTCTTGTGGGAAAATTTGTTTCGGTTTACAAATTTTCGGGTTACGAACTGTCTTTGTGAACGGGTTAAATTTGTAAGATGAGGTACCACTGTATAATTACTATAAAAAATCAATGTAGCCTTCAAAATGTGTGCAAAATTTATACGCAAAAATGTGTAACTCCCAAAGTTACGGGTTTATGAATAAACACTCAATTAGAAACCTTAGAACCAAGAACTTTGCACATGTGTAAAAAATGGTGAGAATCGCTCAAAAACTGAATTTAACAGCTTGTCTCAAAAGTTGAAAATCCTGTTTATGGAGAAAAATGAAGGTAAAGTTCTCGACAATAAATATAGTATGTAGTTCGATTTGATGTCATATCTTGTAAGTTTTAATAAATATTGCTTGGCATTAGTACTTGAATATGTGAAAGTTGTAGGTCAATAATGTATGTGTTGAAATAAAGTAAAGAAAAAATAATCCCCTAAAAAAAAATATATATTTATAGGGATAATGATAATGGGTTAATAAGGATAATAAGTATACTTTAAATAAGTGATAAGGCCCGCATCTGGTCCTCATTCATCAATACACCCTAAAGACACAAAGGGAATAGTTTGAAATCTGTACACTTTTCTTCCAAAAAGGTCACAATTTCTGCCACCTGTAATTGATTAACTTGTTGACCAATTTTGTTCACCCTTCACATACATAGTGACAGGTATACATTCCCCAAGATGTAAAAGCTACAACAAAATCCGATTATAAACAAAGGATAAAAAAAAAAAATAATTCCCCCCTCCAATTTTTATTTTGTTTGAACTTTGGTGAAGGTGAAACTAAGAGAGATTGGCATTGGGCAGTGTATTTTTATGATATACAGGTATATCAAAATACAGCAGTACAGTATTCTTCTTTGTGTGTTGAACAGGTGCTTGCATCTCTGAGAGATAATGCAGCACCTGCATTATCCCTCAGTTCTAGGTAATAGGAGCTGTTTCTCCTTGTAATCAGAACTTTTTTTTTTTTTTTAATTCATCTAAAATCCATTTCTTAACATATTTGGATAAAATTTTCTCGACGCTGTTGCCAAATAATTGGAGATTTATATATAACATTTTCAAATAATATTAATTAAATTCAAATATTTTTGGCACTCCCATCCCCTTAAACAGCTACAGAAACTGTGCTAATGAATTCCAAGTAAACCACTATATATAACACCCAGAAATTACTGACATTATATCTATTCTACTATATACAGAGCACCACTTGGTTTCCGAACCCCTTGGGGACGAGACCCGTCGGTTAACATGTAAGTTCGTATACGAGAAATAGAAGGGAAAAAATAAACTAGAAATGTAAAAAGAAATTTTTCCGAAAAATTTACGAAAAAAACTCTAGGGGAAAACATCGACAGGTTCATGGCGTAAATGCGACCGTGTTTTGTTTGTACTCACCAATAAGTGAAGTCCTGATCCGCTTTATAAAAGTCCTTAATTGTTCATAACTGATTATTAAGACGTCTGGCAAACATCCTCTGGATGTTTCCTGCCAGCCTGCAGGCACATCCTGCCAGCCTGCAGGCACATCCTGCCAGCCTGCAGGCACATCCTGCCAGCCTGCAGGCACATCCTGCCAGCCTGCAGGCACATCCTGCCAGCCTGCAGGCACATCCTGCCAGCCTGCAGGCACATCCTGCCAGCCTGCAGGCACATCCTGCCAGCCTGCAGGCACATCCTGCCAGCCTGCAGGCACATCCTGCCAGCCTGCAGGCACATCCTGCCAGCCTGCAGGCACATCCTGCCAGCCTGCAGGCACATCCTGCCAGCCTGCAGGCACATCCTGCCAGCCTGCAGGCACATCCTGCCAGCCTGCAGGCACATCCTGCCAGCCTGCAGGCACATCCTGCCAGCCTGCAGGCACATCCTGCCAGCCTGCAGGCACATCCTGCCAGCCTGCAGGCACATCCTGCCAGCCTGCAGGCACATCCTGCCAGCCTGCAGGCACATCCTGCCAGCCTGCAGGCACATCCTGCCAGCCTGCAGGCACATCCTGCCAGCCTGCAGGCACATCCTGCCAGCCTGCAGGCACATCCTGCCAGCCTGCAGGCACATCCTGCCAGCCTGCAGGCACATCCTGCCAGCCTGCAGGCACATCCTGCCAGCCTGCAGGCACATCCTGCCAGCCTGCAGGCACATCCTGCCAGCCTGCAGGCACATCCTGCCAGCCTGCAGGCACATCCTGCCAGCCTGCAGGCACATCCTGCCAGCCTGCAGGCACATCCTGCCAGCCTGCAGGCACATCCTGCCAGCCTGCAGGCACATCCTGCCAGCCTGCAGGCACATCCTGCCAGCCTGCAGGCACATCCTGCCAGCCTGCAGGCACATCCTGCCAGCCTGCAGGCACATCCTGCCAGCCTGCAGGCACATCCTGCCAGCCTGCAGGCACATCCTGCCAGCCTGCAGGCACATCCTGCCAGCCTGCAGGCACATCCTGCCAGCCTGCAGGCACATCCTGCCAGCCTGCAGGCACATCCTGCCAGCCTGCAGGCACATCCTGCCAGCCTGCAGGCACATCCTGCCAGCCTGCAGGCACATCCTGCCAGCCTGCAGGCACATCCTGCCAGCCTGCAGGCACATCCTGCCAGCCTGCAGGCACATCCTGCCAGCCTGCAGGCACATCCTGCCAGCCTGCCTGCCAGCCAGCCTGCCAGCCTGCAGGCACATCCTGCCAGCCTGCCTGCCAGCCAGCCTGCAGGCACATCCTGCCAGCCTGCCTGCCAGCCAGCCTGCAGGCACATCCTGCCAGCCTGCCTGCCAGCCAGCCTGCAGGCACATCCTGCCAGCCTGCCTGCCAGCCAGCCTGCAGGCACATCCTGCCAGCCTGCCTGCCAGCCAGCCTGCAGGCACATCCTGCCAGCCTGCCTGCCAGCCAGCCTGCAGGCACATCCTGCCAGCCTGCCTGCCAGCCAGCCTGCAGGCACATCCTGCCAGCCTGCCTGCCAGCCAGCCTGCAGGCACATCCTGCCAGCCTGCCTGCCAGCCAGCCTGCAGGCACATCCTGCCAGCCTGCCTGCCAGCCAGCCTGCAGGCACATCCTGCCAGCCTGCCTGCCAGCCAGCCTGCAGGCACATCCTGCCAGCCTGCCTGCCAGCCAGCCTGCAGGCACATCCTGCCAGCCTGCCTGCCAGCCAGCCTGCAGGCACATCCTGCCAGCCTGCCTGCCAGCCAGCCTGCAGGCACATCCTGCCAGCCTGCCTGCCAGCCAGCCTGCAGGCACATCCTGCCAGCCTGCAGGCACATCCTGCCAGCCTGCAGAAACATCCTGCCAGCCTGCAGGAACATCCTGCCAGCCTGCAGGAACATCCTGCCAGCCTGCCTGCCAGCTTGCCTGCCAGCCTGCAGGCACATCCTGCAGGCACATCCTGCCAGCCTGCAGGCACATCCTTCCAGCCTGCAGGCACATCCTGCCTAAAATATACGATGATGTACTGTACATTTAAGAAACAAATCTGGGTCACAGGTCTGTGGAGTGTGGTTAGGCTTACGGAGTCAGCCGGTCCCTCCCCCACCACCGACACACCTCCCCCACCCCCCACCCCAAACCCATACACACACACACACACACACACACACACACACACTCTCAAAGGTCACGTGGTTCACGGTTCACTTCAACACCCATATATCGCTTCCTGCCTGCCTGCCTCCTTCCCAGCCTGCCTCCTTTCCAGCCAGCTTGCCTCCCTCCCTGCCATCATGCTAACGGGTAGTGTGTGTTAGGCTTATCTTCGGGAATGAGCCGGTCTCACCCCCACCACCAACAAACCACCCGCCCCCCTACATCCCATCTCTCAAGGTCACGCGGTTCAACCGCGTGACTACCACTCACTCCCTGCCTGCCAGCCTGCCTGCCTGTCTGTCTGCCTGCCTGTGCCTGCCTGCCTGTGCCTGCCAGCCTGCCTTTCCCTCCCTAATTCTCACTACTTCCATCCCTTCCTGCCTACCTCCTAGCATCTCTCCCTACCTCCCCCTCCCTCTTAGCATCTCTCCCTACCTCCTAACATCTCTCCCTACCTCCCCCTCCCTCCTAGCATCTCTCTCTCCCTGATTCTCCCCCCCTCCTCATTCATACTGCCTCCCACCTAAGTTGCATCGTTCATCCACCCACCAGTCAGCCATCACTGATGCAATGCGTGCATTTGGAGCCAACATGGTGCACAGATGTTTCTTGATTGTGCAGATATGTAAAACAAAAGCACAGAATGAACATTCCAGCCTTATGGCAATTCAAAATAATAGGAATAATAGGCCGTGAATCTGTGAAGTCACAGTGGGCAAACTGGACCATCGCCCACCCACCACCACAAGCCGGCGTGACGCTTGGCGGACCCCTTCCTACCCGAACTTTGTTCGGGTAGCATGACTCCCCAACCCCAATCGGGAAACTGGAAGTTTCGGATAACTAAAGTTCGGAAACCAAGTGGTGCTCTGTACTATAGTTTATAACAGAAGAAAAACTTTAAAATACAATTAAAACTAGTTTTGTTAATGTTTTTATATAGTCCAATGAACAAATCCACAAGGGCCGTGACGAGGGTTCGAACCTACCCTGTACGTCCGAAAGGATCCCAGACGCGCCTTAACCCTTAACATGCTAGGGGTATAATATCCTTTGTTCCCCACAGGCGCATGTAATTTTGAAAAAAAAAATAAATTATTTTTTCTTCCTAACCTGTTAATTTATGTTCACTGATCACAGGAAAAATAATAAAAAAATCGTAAGTGGCATATATTGCCCACTATAGGGCTGGGAAGTCTGCCAAAAAAACAGGTGCTGAGTCAGCGTGCGTCCCAGGCGGTCTGTTGATCGCCAGCTGTCAGGCCGGAGTTGCCACAAAGAGATAATTACCTAATTATTTCAATGTCTCTGATTGATTTTTCATAGTTTTTTGCTGTAATATTATTCAATAGTGTGTAGTTTGATATATGTATATAATAAAATGAGTGAATCGTTGGTGTACTCAAAAATATGGTGTGCATATTGTTGATTCAATTATGTTCATCAATCAGTGAACAAATACTTTGTCGGCTATTACACTATATACACAGGTTATATATAAGTATCTGCATGTTTTGTTCACCATAACAAACCACTAAGTAGCTATTATGAGTCAAAAAGTAACGAGGAGTGACCGCCGTGTACCAGCCAGCCACTCACACCCTCCCTCAAGTCATCTGACTCACCCACATTCTCCTCCCACAATACTGTTTTTGCTTTTATTCACTATATACAGACGCTATATATAAGTATCTACATTCGTGTTCACCATAACGAGCCACTAAGTTGGTATGCTGAGTGGCAGTGGCAGCCAGCCAGTGGCACACCACTGGCTGCCACTCCCTCCCTCCCTCGTGGTGGGCGGTGGCGTCGTCTGCACGACGCCACCGCCCTCACCAAAATGGCGGCTCCCAACCTTCTCCTCTTGCTGTTTATACCCTCTATACACACGTTATATATAAGTATCTACATTTGTGTTCACCATAGCGAACCACTAAGCTGGTATGGTGAGTGCAGTCAATAAAAGGTGGCCACACACAGTCAGAAGACATCGCCACCACCCTCCCTCCCACAGCATTATTCCTCCCTCCATGGCGCACAGCGCTAAATATCGCCACAATCCTGGTATTATCAGAACCCTGCTCAGTTTTATCACAGTCAGGGGTCTTCTGTAATAATATCATCGCTACATAATAGCATGAACACGTATATTATGGCATTTTTAAGTGATGCTGTGGTCACAAACTGAACAGCAGTGCTGTTAGCTCATGCTGCGTGTGTCAGGCTTGGTTGCTCACTCAATACTGAGGCCCCTAACACCCAGGAGTTTGGCTCACGATTTTTAAAAAAAATGGCGTCTATTTACAAGAGCCCTGATGATGTGGTGAACCCCGTGTATCCGCGGGCCATTTAAATCTTGCGTAGTACTCCAACACGTCATATGACGTGATGCGCACTTTAAGGGTTAATCGACTGGGCTACGACATGGATAAGAATTGCAATCGGGAAATCAACTTGACCTACCAGCCCTTGTGGATTTGTTTATTTGTTGCATCCCGCTATTGTGATTTCTGTGTGTATATGGTCCAATATTCCTCAATCAATTGAGTAGCTGGTATTCATGTTTCTATGCTCAATTTTATCCCATACAATCTTACAATTATTTCCTTGCTTTTCTCATTTTAAAATATCCGAGTATAATTTGGCAGTGTTAAGGACAGACATTAATATCTTTCTTTTGTGTTGAAGGTCAGTGTGTTTCACAAGCCATGTGAACGTAGGAGCCAGTGTGTTGAGCGGCGGGATGCTCTAATACAGCTTATATACCAGAGTCTGTTCCGGCATATAGTAGACTTCATCAATAGCAAGATCAGTGCTCACAAGACTATCTGGTCACAGATTTTGGGTAAGACACTGATTTATTATTTTTGTTCGTGATTGTCTTTAGTTATCGCAATGCAATTCACCAAGCATTATGTAAACTTTGGTTACTAGAAGACCTTAGGCTGGTAGAGTAACAATTTTCCTATTGGTTATTTGTTTCTTTGATCATACTAGTAATGTACAGTATATCCATTTGCAGCATTTATCTTGAATGAGGAATTAAACAAATAACCAGTGCCTTCCAATTGATTTAGTATTTTAAAAGGTAGCAATGAGATCAACCCTGTTACTTGGCTTGTAGTTTTGCTAGTCCTGAAGCCCTCAACCATTCCTGGTATGAGATGAGACTTGGTTTTGATGTGATTTTTGTTGCTCTGCATTGAACTTTCTCCAAAGCAGATACGTCATTATGAAAGTGAGGTCTTAATTCTTGGATACAGCAGTTTAGATGGGGGGGTGCACTAGAAATTTGCACGGCTATGTAGCCATTTTCTTTCCTTTAAAAAGAAAGGTTTCCTATTATTTCCAAGACCCCAAATAGTGTACAGAATGACTAGGAGTCAGCTTCCTACTTTAGGAAAGGAAGTAATTGGGATCAGACATAACCCAAATCAAATGCCTGTGAGACACCAGCAGAATAATGTTGGTAGTATATGCCAAACTGTCCAGCATATGGGTATTTTTAGGATCTTGCCTTCTGAATGCTCTATTCTACCTAATGTAAGACTTACTCATGATTATTTTACCCCAGCATTGAACCTTCAACATAAGAAAATGCAAAATAAAAGTGGACGAGGTCTATAGATAGCTCACTCCTTAGCTAAGGAAACTGAGCTATGAAGAAAGAAAAAGGGAAGTGAACCTCACCCCAAGAATTAGATCAAAATAGGGGAGATGTGATGATATTCAGCACAAGGTTTAAGGAAAATTTACCAAATAGAGAAGAAATGATCAGTGAGCAGCAGCAGCAGAATGAGAACATAAATGGCAGCTGAAAACAAAAACATGTAGAAATAGGAGAATTTCTATTCATAAAAGTTTAAATTTAAATGTTGAAGAACAAAGATTGCATAAAGTTATGTTACAGGACTGTATACTTGGATACAAATTTAAAAACAAAAGTGACCCCCCCCCAAAAAAAAAAAATTAAGAAATTGTGAAAAAAAGGGGGTAGAAGGAAAAATAAATTAGTGTGCAGTGTATGTTTATGTGAACACCTTCGGAAGCTTCAACATGTACATGACAGATTATAAAAAGTTGGGTAACCACAAGCTTGCTTCTCATCCTGTATTTACCCAACCTTTGGGTAAATATACATACTGTACCATATATTTATGCACACCTACAGAATCTGCCACGGTTAAAAATGTTGAGAGAATCATGATCGTGCTCTCATCCATGCATGGGACACACCTATTCAGTGTAATTTAACATTGTACTGTGTTCACTAACTTTGTCTATCATTTTTACATAGTCGCTTTTTAAATGTTGGAGGGGTTTATTTGCTTACCTGACCATAAGCCATTGTATAAATTGATCTTTGTTTTGAAAGGGTCAGACTATAAGTTGAGAACCGATCTCTGGAAACCTGATTTTTTTCATCTGAGAAAATAGCATGTTGTGATAGACAAAGTAGTCAGGATAAAGCATAAGCATAAATATACTATTTTTGTCAAGTATTTTCTTGAATTTGCTTTTTTTAAATCCTTATTGCTTTTTAATATTTACTTATTTTTTCAGGAATATTGGATGTGTATGGATTTGAAACATTCCAGCAAAACAGCCTTGAGCAGCTATGCATTAATTATGCCAATGAGAGGTTACAGCAAGCATTCATAGCTCGATATCTAGCCACCGAACATCAGGTACTGTCATTAAACATTGCAAAAGAGTGTTTCATTTAAAGGATCAAATACAGCAATTTAAAAGTTTTATAGCAGTTGTATATACATTAGAAGAATCGAGAGTTGATGCAACTGTTAGGTGGTGTGGAGGATGCAGGTGAAGCAGTGGGCAGTTGTGTATTGAATGTTAATACAACAAAGTAGTGTGCAGGATGATTGAATAAATGTACAGTTCAATTAACATTTATCATTTCAGTATTGAGGGTATGTATGTCTCAACTAAAAGAAAGCTTTAAGCTGAGTAAACGCGCATTTTTTTAGTTTCTTTCAAGAAATTATTTTGTAATAATGTACTGTTCAGAGTGACGGGAGTGAGAGCAGATGAAGTTAGAAAAATTACAAAACAAGATGGAAACTACAGTACAACCTCGATTCAATGCACTATATGGAACCTATGGGACCAACCCCAGTTCCTTGCAGTGTTGGATTCGCTGCAAATGGTGACCTTCAAGAGGCGTTTGCATCAGTGTCTTCTTTTCTTGTAAACAATAAAAATGCATTATCATATTATATACTGTATCTATATATTAATACTATATTAAAAAATACTGTTACAGTTGTGATTTACCTTATTGTTGGAGTTATGTCTATCTTGAATTCTCATGGAGTTGTGAATGCTGTACAGTAAATACGTACTGTACTGTATCTGTACTGTATTATGCCGTTAGCACTGTAATGATTAGTAGTTCTGGTGTATGTTGAGTGCTACAATACAGTTTATGAAAACTATTTTACACTAAAATTACTGTACTGTAACCTTAATTTTAACACTAACACTATGCACTTAAATTGTACGGCTGTGCTCGTGCTGGGTACGGCTGTGCCCATGCTGGGTACGGCTGTGCTCGTGCTGGGTACGGCTGTGCCCATGCTGGGTGCGGCTGTGCCTGTGCTGGGTGCGGCTGTGCCCGTGCTGGGTGCGGCTGTGCTTGTGCTGGGTGCGGCTGTGCCCGTGCTGGGTGCGGCTGTGCCCGTGCTGGGTGCGGCTGTGCCCGTGCTGGGTGTGGCTGTGCCCGTGCTGGGTGCGGCTGTGCCCGTGCTGGGTGCGGGTGTGCTGGTTAATTTTCTGCTACTAGTTTTTGCAAAATATTGACTCATTTTCGACACTAATAAGGCATTATTAGCAAGCCCCCGAGACATCTTGTTGTATAACAATACAGCTGTAGTCAAAAAATGATAAATTCCACTATTATTCTTCCACCGGCGGACAAACACGTCACTCGCAGACAAAGCTAATAGCACTGGGTGCCTACTGTTTGAATGCAGACTAAGTCTATACATCCTACAGTAAGCCAGATCCAGTAACATAAATTTCTCTCAAATATTGGATTTACAGTACCTCAAAATATATATTTTTGGGTTATATATTTCATTTAGCAACATTATTATGATAATAAGAGCTATAAAAAATAATTATTTTAGAACTGATTTATTAATTTTATTATTTTGAAGCCATAGGTCACTGAACTGTGGCGACAAAATCGAACGAAACACACATGGTGTTGTGTATACACGAATTAGACCCGTCCACTCGCTCTGGAGTTTGAGCCAATAACATGAATTATTTCTCAAATAGCATATGTCTATCATATTACAGTATATTTTTGGTTTTATTTAGTTTAGTTTAATTAGGATAATAAAGAGCTAATAAAACACTGGTTTTAGAAATGATTTATTAATCTGAAACTTTAAAAGTCATGGATCACTGAACTATGACGACACAGACGAAAGTGAGGTTTACAATACAGTATTCCCTTATCTGTCCACCCTCGCTCATCTTGTTTCATCGCAGAAAATGTATACAAGATTTCAACACATTGGCTAGCTATTCACACTTCAGCTTTTAAGTTAATCTGCAAAGATACATGTGCCACAAATCGGTGAACGAAAATCATGGAAACACAGTATTTTACTTGTGTGGACCACTCTGGCTGGTTGGTTCTTAGGGTTCACTTGTTGTGTGGTCTACTTGTGTGATCCAACTTGTCATATGAAAGAATTATTAATTGTAACCTGTGATAGAATGGGAACATTTTCCACCAGTTTGTGAACTCTGTCCCAACATCTAAAGCAAATCTGCACATCCCCCGCTTCGGTGAACCATTGTTCGTCGAAACAGGTGAATAAATCCATCCTAAAAAGTGTGCGACCTTGCCGGAGATTCGTTGAATCGGGGTACGTTCAATTGAGGTTGTACTGTATTAGAATAGTTAACACTTTCGCGCTCTCGGCGCTCAAAAAAAAACAATACCCCAGATGCTTTCGGCACTTCGCGCGCCTACGCGGTAAGACCGAAAAAGTGTACACTCTTTTGACTGTCCTGACAATAATTGAAGGCGCACGTATTTAAATTTGGTATCACTGTGTTCGCAATGAAATTGTCTATAAGAGCATACCTATAAAATGCCGCCCAAGCATAAGGAGTATCAACACCAAATAAAAAACTATGCAGATCACTCGCCGAGAGCGCCAAACAGCAACAAAATGTTTCCACTCTCTTAATGGTTGCGAAGCCTACAGTTGTCCTACATCGCTAATTTTGGTATCATTGGAATCGCAATAAAATTCTCTACACGGACATATGCATATGAATGTTTAATACTGTATAGGTAATTGCCCACCCGCAAGAGTGTGTGAAGTGGAGAGTAGTTAGCCGCGAGCGCACTGGCGAAAACACGGGGGAAATCATGCTTGGAAAGTTTATACATTTATACGTTTCCTGACCCTACTTTTCTATGTACGTATTTCTTTTTTATACCAATGTGTTCGCAATAAAATTTTCTATAAGATGAAATGTATAACAATTGTACAAAGCATGTGTAAGAGAAGCGCCAAATATAGAACCACGTCGCTCAGTATGTGTTCGCGGCAGAAACGAACGCATTGTTTTCGTTCGTTTGATGTTTGTCATGTTTATACTTGTTGAAACATTTTATAATTTGTATGACAGTGATCGCAGTAAAATTCCCTACACAGACATATACATAACACATACAAATATTTCCCACGTGTTGGATATATCAACGGCTAAAGGGAACCCACTGCCACACGACTGCCACACCCAGAGCCACACCCGCCACACCCCCAAACATACTTTGTGTTTTTTTTTTTTTACTCATAGAAGTTTATGTGATATAATATTCATTCTGGTAACAAAAAATTCACAAATAAATTCTCTACAAAACGTATATAATATAACTTCTTATAGATGATAAAAAATTCCAAATAGGTGTACTTACCCTGTCATGTTGATTGAAGATCAACAGTTGAGCATTTTTTCTTCACTCCACCATCTTCAGGCTTCTGATCCTGAAGTTGCTCATCTGATGTTTCTTAGGTGGAGTGAAGCTGTTGCCGGTGGTTATTTTTTCTCCACCCAAAATATCTTTCTTCGGTGGTACCTTGTGTAGCAAGGCGCAGCGCACAGTGCCACATCACAAGTTTTACATCCATATATCACGTCCCTCCTTTTGCCAGACTTGAAACAAACACGGCATCTTCTTTTTTTAGCCAAGTGCACGAGTTCATGCGTCAACTTGTAGTTGAGACGTTGTTCTGAATCTATAATTCTTCTATTTCTTGGATTCACTGGAGGAATATTGTCTTCTACAGGAACCACCAAACTTGTAGTAGAATCTTCTATGAAATCAGAAACATCAAGTGGTTCTATGTCCTCAATGTCCATTTCAGAATTTGTGGTTGATGAGTGGGCTTGAGGTGTTGAGGTGAACAGAGGACGCCTCGCACCAGATGGGCCGGGTGTTGAAACTGCCGCGTCAGCAGGAGGAGCTGCGCTGGCATCTATGTCGGGAACATGTGGTATGCTTGTTGTTGTTGGCCATTCCTCGCTGTTCCACGCCAATAAGGCTTTTATTCCTACTGCGTGAAACTCTGATAGTGTTAGTTTTTTTGTATCTGTTGAGCAGTGGTTATACAATGCGTATGCATTGTGCATGGCCATTTGCAGAAAATAGAAAGTGATCTTCTTGGTCCATTTGTGGGTTTTTCTTGCAAACTCATATTTGACCATTTGATCAAAATGATCAACACCTTTCATGAACTTATTGTAATCCACTATGGCCTTTGGTTTGTTCATTTTCACAATTTCTACTCCAGTTCTCCCGTCACGTTTACGAACGAGTTTCCTGCGCTGTGCTTGAGTAGTGTCGGCATTGTGGATATTGGTGATGACAGACGGGGCGCTTGTCCTTCCAAACTATAACAAAGGTGTTATCCTTACGCATGTATACGGTCGTGTCGGTTGCCATTTTACCCTTTACCACTTGTTGCAGATCCTTGGGGGCGCCACATTGGAGTCTAAGTGTGCCACATGTGTAAACACCCACTTCACGTAATTGTTCTGTTAGGCTTACCGAGTTATAGTAGTTATCCATATACAAATGATAACCCTTGTTGACTAGGGGCGCCATCAACCCCATCACGGTTTCCACTGTCGTTTTTCCAATTCCACAATACACATCAAATTTATATATGTAGCCTGATTTCCCTTCGGCCAACATATAAAATTTTACACCATATTTATCAGGCTTGTTGGGATTGTAGACCTTGAAAGAGAGGCGGCCGCGCCATGCCATTGTACCCTCATCGAGACTCAATTCTTTTTTGGGGATATATACAGATTCAAATTTTTCTGAAAAATAGTCCATTAGTGGTCTAACTTTTATCAATCTGTCACTACTATTCACTGGAACGCCTTTTTTGTTATACATGTGGAAGAACTTAGAAATGTGTTGGAACCGAGCAGACGACATAAACAAGTTGAAGAATCGACAATGCCACATCTGATTCGTCTGCCAGTACATCCTCATTGTAGGCATCTTCACTATGCCCATCAGTATGCACAGGGCCAAATATCGGGCCATTTCTTTCACCGACACTGGTTTCCACGTTTTTCTTGCTGACTCAGCCATGAGATGTATGACGTGTGTGGCATGCAAATT